TGACCCAAAACTGTGTCCCCACGGGCTGCCCCTCATCCCACAGGGTGGCCCAAGGTGCTGTGACAGCCCTGCCATGTGTCCCACCCCTGGTCCCCTCCTGGAATGGGGGATGTGAGCCCAGGAGGGGCACCCTGGGTGGGGGACCCCTCGTTCCTCTGAGAGGGGTCAGGAGCTGTGGGGGGATGAGCTCAGTTTTGGGGAGCACCCCGTCGGCTGAGGAGGCTGCAGAGGGGTTTTAGCAGGGATGGGGGGAATTCCTGTGGGATTGGGGGGTTGGGCTTGGATCCAGCAGGAGGGGTGGGTTTGGGGGTCCCTGCTCTCAGAGGAGCTGCCTCGGGGTGCACAGGGGCCTTTCCCAGTGCTGCTGACTGGGAGCTGAGTGGGAATCCCAGTGAACCAAGCTGCCCCTTCCCGGGTGGGCAGGCAAAGGCACAGCCCAGATCGGCCTGGATCAATGTTGGGCAGGTTTTCCACGTTGGGTCCTCCAGGTCTGGGCGGAAATAAAGATTTTAATTTAATTTAAATTTTATTATTTATTTCATTTTATTTTATTTTTGCCAGTCGGTGACTCGAGGGAGCATGGGGTGAGAATTAAAAGGGAGGGAAATACCCCCTGTGTCTCCATGTGTGTGTCTTTCTCAAGTCCTTTCTAATGACAGCTGAAATTCTGTAAAATAGATTTATCTATATCATAAAAATAAAAATGCTTTCTTTTTTGGGGGGGAAAGATGAGCTTGCTCTGGGGGGAGGAGGGAGCTGGCAGGGTGTGAGGGGTCTCAGCACAGCCCTTCCCCAGAACCTGTAAAGCACCTTGTGCCTGGGCCACGTTTCTGCCAGAGAAAAGGCAGCTCATCTCCTGGGGTTTCCTGCTTTTTAGAAGCTTTCTATGTATTATTCAGGTTTCCTGGGGTCAGCAGCTGCTGGGGCATCAGTGGTGAGTTGCTCTGCTGACTCCTGGACTCTGCTGGGACACCATGGGCAGGGAGGAGGCAGCAGCACGTGCCAAATTTGGAAAATAAAGTGGTTTTTTTCCCCACCCCAGACTACTGTGAAATATGACTTTTGCCACCTTTCCCTCGTCCTTCCCTGGGGGACTGGCTCCTCCTTGTGCACCTCCCTCTGCATCATCCAGCTCTCCTGGCACTGCCCTGGAGCTTCACCTCTCCTTGCACAAGCCACGAGCCTCCTCCTGGATCATCCCTTCCCTCTGGGCTGGGCTGTCCGGCTCCACCCCATGGGATTTCTCCTCGGAGGGCTTGGTCCTTGCTGTCATCCCAAAACCTGCTGAAGGTGGAGACTCCAAGGCAGGGGCACCACCAGGTGAACCCCAGGATTTGCAGATGCGCCTCGCATGGTTGATTCCCTCCAGGATCAGCTCCGAGTCCCTGCTCAGCTCAGACAAACCTCTGTCACCCCCTCAGTGTCCCCGCTGGTCAATCAGGGTGTGGTGACACCCCGGGGCAGGAGGGGCTGGGCCCCCATGAGGGGTGTACAGCCAGGTCTGGGTGTGGCCTCAGGGGAGTTATTTGGGCTCAGGGCCACCTGCCCAAACCTGTCCCGTGTCCTGCTGCTGTCCTGGAGGCCAAGGGGTCGTGCTGGGGCTGCCGGCCGGGTGTGGGGTGGTGGGCCATGGTGGTCCGCGCTGGGGGCAGTGATGGTCCATACTGGGGATACTGGGATGTGCTGGAGCTGTGGTTTGTGTTGGTCCACACTGGTCCATGCTGAGGGTGTTGGTCCGTGTTGGTCCATGCTGAGGGTGTTGGTCCATGCTGGTCCATGCTGAGGTGGTGGCCCATGGCAGGGCTCAGGCTGTGGTCCATGCTGGGGACACTGGTCCATGCTGGGGTGGTGGTCCCTGCTGGCTGCTGCTGAGCCAGAGGGCCACAGAGCAAGGAACCCAGGATGTCCCTCTGCCTGCAGCTGGGGGGCTCGGGGGTGCTCTGGTGGGTGCTCAGCAGCAGGACAGGGCTGTGCTGCCATCCCCCTGGTCGGCCTGGGCTCCTCAGCCCGGGGCAGCGGATCCAGGGATGTGCCAAACCTGGATGAGCTTGGATTAGAGAACCACAGAACATCCTGAGCTGGAAGGGACCCCCAAGGATCATCAGCCCAACTCCTGGCCCTGCACAGGACACCCCAACAATCCCACCCTGTCCCTCAGAGCATTGTCCCAACGCTCCTGGAGCTCTGGCAGCCTTGGGGCCGTGCCCACTGCCCTGGGGAGCCTGGGCAGTGCCCCAGCACCCTCTGGGGGATCCTCATGCTCACAGCCATCCCAGGGTGCTGCTCTCTGGCAGCAGGGAGAGCTGAAGTGCCTCCCCTGAACCACAGACAGGAGCCAGAGTTCCACCTGGGGGGATAAACCCAAGGATTTCTCCACACTTCACCCCAGCCCAGCAGCTGCAGCAGCTCAGGCTGGAAAGCACCCAGAGCTGCACAGCTCTGTCCCTGCACCACACAAACCCAGCCACACACCTTCCAACCACGGCAGCCAACCTGCACAGCCCTGTCCAGCCAAACACAAAACCCACACAGCAACAAAAACACTCCCCGAGCTTTGCACCACGGCAGGAAACTGCTGGGCAGCTCAGGAACCCAGAGCAGAGCAAAGCACTGCGGGAGGGGCTGAAAGCCTGGCTCTTCCCAGCTCCCAGGAACACAAGGATTGGGAGCCAGGGAAGGGCTGGAGCTGTGCCAGGGGGGTTGGGATGGATCTCAGGGAAAGGTTCTTCCCCCAGAGGGTGCTGGGGCACTGCCCAGGCTCCCCAGGGCAGTGGGCACGGCCCCAAGGCTGCCAGAGCTCCAGGAGCGTTTGGACAACGCTCTGAGGGACAGGGTGGGATTGTTGGGGTGTCCTGTGCAGGGTCAGGGGTTGGGCTGGACGGTCCCCGCGTGTCCCTTCCCGCTCGGGACGCTCCGGGGCTCGGTGCCGGTCCCCGCTGTCCCCGCCCGGCTCAGGCGCGGCTCGGGCAGCCCTGTGCGGGCAGCGGCGTCGCGGGGTCCTCGGCGCGGCTCCGGCGCTCCCAAGATGGCGGCGGGGCCGGTCCCGGCCGTGTGAGGCGGGAGCGCGTCCCGGGCCCGCCCGCGGCCCCTCCGCCCGCCCGGCCCCGCCCGGCCCCCGCGCCCCGCCGGCGGCATGCTCAGGTCCACCGGCTACTTCCGCGGCATCGACTGCCCGTTCCTCAGCGCCGGCGGGCCGGGGTCGGGCGGGGGGTGCCGCAGGCCCTACTGCCACTTTCGGCACCCCCCGGTGCCCCCCGCGCCCCGCGGGCCCTCCGGAGACCTCGGCGCGGGGATCCCGCTCGGACACGGCGCAGGTACCCCCTTCCCCCGGCCCCATCCTGCCCTTCCTCGAGCTGTGGCTCTCCCGGGTCCTGCCGCCCCTTCCCGGTTTCCCCCTCGCCCCCCAGCTCGGTCCGGCCCCCCCAGCCCCAGCCCGGTCCCCGCTGTTCTCCCCCTGCAAGGGCAGGCCCGTGCCGGGTCTCCTCCTCTCTCCTGCCACCCACCAGGGCCTGGATCCGCCTCCCCCTCCCCTGAACGCCCCCGGTGCCCCCGGGAGCGGGTGTTTCCCCGCAGCCCGTGCCCGGTGGGCTCTGGGGGCATCACCCAGCGGGGCCGATGGGACCCCCCGCGTGTGCTCAGCCCTGAGCTGTCACCTCCTGTTCCCTCCAAGGAGGGGCTGGAGGAGCTTTCCAGCCCCGTGGGCGTCTCTCGCACTATTCCCATGGCACAAAGGGCGTTATGGAGCAGCTTTCCAGGGTGTCCCGGGGCCTGGGACGAGCCCGCGTGTCCCCGGCGCGGCTGCGGGAGCTGCAGGAGCTCCGCGCTGCCCTCAGCCCGTTCTTTGTCGCTCCGGGCGCTCGGCGCTGAGGTGTCAGGGCCGAATTCCAAACCTGCTGACAGCTCCAGCTCCCGTTAGATCCCTGCAGGAGGAGCTGGAGGTGCCCGTGTCCTGACCGGTGCAGGGAGGCAGGTCCCGTGCTGGGCTGTCCTGGGGGGCTGTGCTGAGCCAGACTCCCGCTCCGAGGGGTTTGGGGGGGCACGGAGCACTGCCAGGCTTCCCAAAGGCAGCTTGGCACAACCCCCACAGTGAATCAGGGGATCACAGACTGTCCTGGGTTGGAAGGGCCTCACAAGGATCAATAGTGAATTATTGTTCTGCCTTCTCCCAGCAGCTCTTGTCATTCTCCTTACACACATTATTTGCTGCTCTGCTGATTTATTCGGAGGGAAAAGCCTGCCTTCTTCTCCCCAGAAGATCCCTGCTGGCTTTCTTTTTGTTAAAGCTTTGTTATTTCTGTCGGTTTCCTCTAAAACCTGAAGCAGAAGTTGCCAAAATGAAGCCCAGCTTGTGGGTTTTCGGGTGCTTGCTCAACTCTTTGGGTTGCTCAGAAGTTTGGAAAGGGATTAATTTTCTGTGTCTCCTGGTTACCAGATCAACTCAGCACCACCACTAGTTTAGTTTAAAATAAAAGAAGCATAAAAGTGCTGTTGCAGGCAGGTAACACATCAGAAAGACAAAGGTTTTTGCCTATTTCAGTGTTCTTTTGAATTTTAAAAGCTCCCTGGAACCCTTTAAGATGATCCTTTAGATGATATCATAATTATCCTGCAGTGTGCTATTCCTGTGCATCTTTAAATATCTGTGGAGTGTCAGCTTTGGAACCAGAATGGCTCATTTTGGTCTGTGCCGGGTGCTTGGGAACAGCTGGGGCTGGGTTTGGGTGTGGAGATGGGGAAGTGAAAACGGGTTTTCAGTGAAACCTCCTGGTGCCCCTGGAAAGTGTGTGTGGCTCCTGGAAGTGTTGGGGTAAGAGCTGAGTGTGGAGGGCAAGAAAAATCACCCCAATGTCTCGCTAGGCCTGGCCTGGATGTGTCAGAGAGCCAGGAGAAGCAGCCTGAGTGTTGGGAATAATTCCTTGGAATCGTAAGGGTTGGAAAAGACCTCCAAGATCAAGTCCAGCTGTCAATGCAGCACCTCCACCACGCTCACCACTAACCCATGTCCCCAAGGGCCACATGCACACGTTGTTTGAACACTCCAAGGGATGGTGGCTCCACCCCTGCCCTGGGCACCTGTGCCAGTGCTTATCAACCTTTTTAATTTAGAAATTTTTCCTAATATCCAACCTCATCCACTCTGTTGCAGCTCTTGGAGCAGCTCTGGCTTGTGACAGGCAAAACCTGTAGCGTGGGCCTGGTTTCTGCCACTTGTGAAAGGAGCAGGATCCCAAGGATCCCAGCCCCTGCCTCGCTCCACTCAGCCTGTTCCTGCCTCTTCCCAAAGCCTTGGCATCTCGTGCACGGCAGAGCTGTTGGAACAGGGATCTGTCCCTTCTGTCTCAGCTCAGGGTTGGGCTCCAGCCATTTTTTAATGTTGGTTCTGTGTTGACTCCCCCCTGCAGAGCTGCCTCGAGCCCTGGGGAACAACAGCACAAGGACGTGGAGCTGCTGGAGAGAGTCCAGAGGAGGCCACGGAGATGCTCCAAGGGCTGGAGCCCCTCTGCTCTGGAGCCAGGCTGGGAGAGCTGGGGGGGTTCACCTGGAGGAGAGGAGGCTCCAGGGAGACCTTGGAGTCCCTTGCAGGGCCTAAAGGGGCTCCAGGAGAGCTGGAGAGGGACTGGGGACAAGGGATGGAGGGACAGGACAAGGGGAATGGCTTCCCACTGCCAGAGGGCAGGGTTAGGTGGGATAATGGGAAGGAATTGTTGGCTGTGAGGGTGGGGACGGGCTGTCCCAGGTTTCCCAGAGCAGCTGTGGCTGCCCCTGGATCCCTGGAAGTGTCCAAGGCCAGGTTGGAGGGGGCTTGGATCAACTTGGGCTAGTGGAAGGTGTCCCTGCCCATGGCAGGGGGTGGGATGAGATGCTTTTTAAGGTCCTTTCCAACCCAAACCATTCCAGGATTCCATGATTTCAGTTGATAAATGGGAGATGAGCAATGGACCTGCTGCAATCCCTGGATTTTAGAGTGGACTCCAGCGGGTCACAGAAGGTTCCCGATTTCTGTAGGAGCAGAAGACACTCCTTGGCAGTTGCTCTGTAGGCAGTGCTTGGCTCAGCTTCACCAGCAGGATTCAGGTTGAAGTGCTCCTGTCATTTCCCTGCCTGCCTGAAGCTCCCGGTGCTTGGCAGGATCTGTAGGATTTACACTAGAGGGTGTAGTAGTCCAGCCAGAACCAGGCAACCATCTTCTGGGAGCAGGTTCCCCATCCAGCAGGACTTGCTCCCTGCCAGGGGAACTGCCTGTCTGGTTTTGAAGTAGCACTTGGGCAGGTTTGACCCATTTAATCACATCACTCGATAAATAAGCTTTAAAAGCATCGTTTTTTTGCCAAAGCAGGTGGGTCTCTACACCAAGAGCTGCAGCTCAGATCGGTGTTTTCTGGGATAGTGCCTAGAAAAAAAAAAGATAACATCTAAGGGAGCAGCCTGCTAAGCATATTGATTCCAGGCTGGGGCTGGCTTTGATGTTTGAGGATCACTGGAGGACTGGCAGGAGCCCCAAAACTCCTGGTTCAGCTTTGGAGGGTTGAAAGGAGCTTCTGAAAAGTGAGAGTGGAGCTGGCCTTGGCAGGTTGTGGAGGGAGGAGGCTGTGGGCACGGGCCAGATGGAGCAGAGAGGATGTGAAAAGAGGAATTAGGGGGATGTAGCACTGTTCCCCCTTTCTTTTGTCCCACCCTCACCATTCCAGACTTCCCAAGGCACGAAGAGTTCAGGTGTTCCTAATAGGTGATCCATATTTTTCACACAGCGCTTGTGTGCTCCCAGGCACTGGGAGAAGAGGCCTCCATGCCCATTCAGGAGCAGGAGGACTGAGTTTTCCCTGTCTGCTGCCCTCTGGATGTGTCAAACATTCCCTTTCCTTCCTTTCTGAGGGCAAGTCAGTCGATACAAAGGTGTGGAGTGAGGAGGGAGCTGTTGTGATGTGTCTGGTCTGTAGGGCACGTGTGAACTGGGGTCTGAAATGTGGGATACTTGGCATGGGAAGTCTCTTCCCATGTTTTACTGCCTGTGTGGTCACAGAATGTGGCTCCCTGGAGGCTCGTGGAAATCCCAGGCTGGCTGAGCACTGAGGAAGGGGCTGGAGCTTGTGCTGGGGGGGAATTTTCTGTGCAGGGCTGGGAACCTGGAGGT